CAACGCAATATTCAAGGGACCATAAAAAATCCAGTTTGACATTTACTTTTAGAGCAATGCCATCACTAACATGTGACGACTTTACTTTAGTTTATATGCAGTATATCAAGTAAATTGTTTGAATAGGACAGAGATTAGGGTTTGATGTCCTCTTTGTTGTGCAGTTTTTGACCCCGGCAGCTGCTTTACAGCATATAATAAGCAATTGCCTCCCTCTTGTCTCATCCCTTTCTTGGGCACATCTGTGCTGCCTCATGGCGCACACGTTTGCACAAATATCACATTTTTCTTGTCTATGCAACAGATGCTGACAAAGTAGATGGGACACAAGTTAGACCTTCATGTAATAGTAGCGGTACTCTTCGATTCACAGTAATTTCCAAGTGTCTCTGTGTCGTTTCGCCTCACGTTCTACTAGGTATTATTTAGAGTTTTTCCAAAATGAGTCAGGAACAAAGTTTCTTTTCCAGGCTGCGCCTAAGTTGAACGGCAGCATGGTGTGAAGCAGATGTTGCATGCTTACATCGATCACAACTGACAATTTGGTTGAGCATTCTAGCTCTAATGCACAAATTTTCATTCGTGTTGATGAAAAACAGAACATTATTATCACATCTCTACTTATGCAGGCTCTAGAACTGTAAAAATTGTAACTAAAATATTTTAGTGGCAATCGGTTTCTGTGCACTGCATACCAAAAGATAGGGCCCTGTGCAAATAGCTTTCGTTCCTTTCCATAATTTTAAAAGCAACCTGTGAATATCTACTGGCAAAACGTTTAAAGTCGCAGTCACAGACCTTAACGTAATAACGGGTTTGTCAGAATACTGTTCGCTTTAAGCTTATGCACGCACTTTTTAGCGGGGTGGTGCAGTATTGAGGCTTTCACCTAAATTCATGGCTGTTTGATTCAGCACTTTTCTGACGCATCAACAACAGTAAGAACGCTGACGTTTGCTGATAAAAACCTGCGAAACTGTTTTGCTACTAGCTGAAACAAATATCACATTATTACCAAGTCCATCAGGCTTGTTCCATGCATGTTTAGGGTTGGAAGAGTATTTTCCACTTGTCCAATTTATAGCTTAGCCATTATGAGTTATTGTGTCAATAAGTCAATGTTGTCGTTCATACCTTTTGCTAAATAGGGTGAAGATTGTTTCGAGGCGTCTTCTGCTACTAAGCTAAATTTTTGCAAACCTAGTTTCCGTCTAAGTTAAAACAATAATGTGTGGCCACGATGATACCTTAAGATATCTGCACGCAAATACTGTGCCCGCATCTATCTGTGTTTAACATATCCAAAGCGAGCAGGCCTGCAATTTTTGCAAAATAATTGTATAGTAGGTACCCATAACCTACTTCACAAGCGTGCCTAATTTTGCGCTTTAGAGATTGAGTCAACAGTACAAATGACTGAATATCAGCATACTAATACAATTTTTTTTCAACAATCAGTTGTTTTTTTGTTTTTATTAACAGATTGTTTTAAATACTAGCATATTATACCAATTATTTAAATATGAATCAGAAGAAGATAGTGTGACTTGGGGATATGTTAAAAACATAATTTGTGACTTATTGAGCTGTTACATTACCTTTGTAAATAGGGTTATGCCAAGTTTCCATGAGCAGTTGAAACCTTCGCAAGATGAAAGCAGTAACATCAAGCCCCACTATCGCTTGTTTGGAATAAGTCCTGTTAGGAAATGCAGCTAGGCCTCAATATGCGTTATTTCTGGTCGCATAACAGTGCTGCTACACTCGCAAGCACTAATCTCAAAACACAGCGAGAAGATTGAAGTTGGTAGAGTCCAATCCAAACCGTCATTAGTCGTTAGGAAACAGGGTACATTTAAACCCAAACTCTTGGCTAAAGGGTTATAGCATAACCTAATGCTCTACAGCCAGCTGAAGACGATTAATGTGAATACGGCAGATTAATCACAAGTCTAAGCTACGTCTAAATTCACATTCAATGGACCACGAAGAATGCGCAAGGCAAAAGTTGTCATTTAGAACCACGTCGCCAAAAGACGTTGCAACCATGATACGGTATTCAAAATATTTGCTTGATATACTGCATATAAAACAAAGTAATGTCGTCACATGTTAGTGATGGCATTGCTCTAAAAGTAAATGTCAAACTGGATTTTTTATGGTCCCTTGAATATTGCGTTGAACGTGGCTTAGAGGAGTAAACTTCTTTGGAATTGCTGAACCGATAGTCTTCACTTGACGACCGATCATTATTTTATGACTTGATGATTGTGCTAAGCAGTCGGGATTAAAATATGCTTATTTTTGTTACGACGTGGGATGTCCTAGATTGGGTTCTGCCTACACTGCCTTTATCACTGTGCTTAGATTGTGATTTCTGGCTGCTAATTTAATCGTCACTGTGTACCACCGTGAGAGTGCCAGAAGTGGCAAACCAGCTTTAAAGGAATTTTCGCAAAAAAATGGTGTTTAAGGTCGAGTGATAATTCTACAAAAACTGGATTACCTTGACTTATTTCAGTAAATCGTTCTCACGGATATCAAAACTTGTAAAGTAATCACTATGATATGATCGATAATCTGGAGTGAGTCATGGTAGACAAGAGGGACATATTGAAGCAAATATTGAGCACAGCAATATACAAATTGTAAGCCATATCAGCAATCTGCGTCGAAAATTAACGATTTCCTAGATGCTCCGACGAAACATACGCAAATGTCAAATGATTTTGTGAATGTTTTCAAGCTAATAAAGACTTTTTATAGGCCTATCTAGAGAAATGAGTGAACGGGAAAATGGGCCAGTTTTTGCATTAGTAAAACGTACGTAATTTAACAAAACTAATACAGACTTCCCCCTGATCCCTCGTTATATTATGCTTGCATTTAAAAATCACCCTGGTAAATTAACATAAACCGAACTAAAGAGCACCTGTTTGATTAAGGAAAAAAAAACTTGCACCTGAACGTTGACAGTCAGACTCGCGGTTAAATTAATCATTGGCATACAATTAAAGCGCTATTCGTGACCCAATGCGCTGACATTGCAAATATGCCAAGTGGGCAATCGAAGTTTACGTACAAGACTTCAATTTGTCTTGACGCGTTACGTTTGCATTTCTACCTATGAATTTTGTCTGATTGGTAAATAACGGCTATCAAGAATTCCTGAAGCGTCTCGACATGTCACCAACTTAGTTTGTCAAGTTGCATCGTTTCGAGAACTGCTCAAAATATCATTGTAGTAAAGACTGTGTCGGCAGCGATTGTGCACCTCAGAGAGGCATTGCATTTTTCCTGGACATCTCTTGCCAAAATTAGCAAGACATGCAGTTGCTTTTGATGATACGGCTTCACCTGATATATTGTAGGAATCACTCACATATCCATGATTCCGGGGAGCTTAACAAGTTTCCTCTGATTTCGACAACATGTATGATTTGCTGCGAACAAATTGGCAACCCAACACGAGGTCGCCTCCCCTCCCAAAGTAACAGGTCGATTTCGTGAAACGAGCTCGTTTTGTGAATGTCACCTCACTGAATCCTGAGCTGTAAACCGCTTCGGTAGGTGCGAAACCGAGTGCAATCTTTCTCAATTATCGCCTACTGATAACACGTCAAGATTTCTCGTTGTCTTGTGGGCCTATATAAACCGATACACAACGTTCACCAGATTAAATTAGAACTTTAACATGGATACGTGGGCTTCGTTAAGGAAGGACAAGACTGCTGTTGGCGCCGCACGATGTTGTGAGAATGGATTGGGTGATGGCGAGTACGACGCAATGGAACTCTTTGAAAATATCGTCAGTAATATTCTGGATGAGAGTCCAGAAGTGCCTGACCAAGTAGAAATGTGAGTATTTTAATGTGTCAAATTTACCATATTTGTTTAGGAACCCTCTAGATCAAACCACAGCCAAGACAACTTCGCCGAAGCAAGATATTCCACGACTTCGATTCATACTTGGTCGCGGTCCCTATGGAGCGTAGAATCAGACAAGGAATGGTATGCAGTGGCATGTTTAGTCCTGGAGAACACATGTTGATGCACCTTGAAAGAGGCCTTGAAATTGGATGTGGGCAGGAAGAAGGGACCCGAGGAGGCGGTGCCCATAAGCTTAGAGCAGGGTTATGGGGTTAGAAGTGGTTCCTTCACTACTGCGAATATGGGTACTGCTACCAATAATTCTAGCAAAACTACTTTCGATGCTGTCGCAGGGGTCATGTCTTAGGTGAAGTACATGGCTAGATGGGCAAAAATACAGTTGATGAAAAGCATCGCATTGACAATTGTGTGCATTTTAATGAAAGGGGGGATCACTGCAGAAACTTTTTTGCCCAACTGTTCAAAGTTTATGGGGAGTGTTCGTGACGAAGTATTTCGGTTACGAGAATTGCATTGCCTATCGATTGCACGCTGGTAAATGTAAACCATATGACAAATTAATTTAAGTTGTCACTGTAATGTGAGTCGACTTACGCAATTTTAAATAAGACGTGGTTTTGATATAAATGCTTTTTTCATGAGTCACCGAATAATTTGGCTGTGTCCAGAAATTCATGGAGTATTGACACCGACAATTCAGTAAACGCACTAATACGGCATTGGTCACTTCGATTTTAATTGCAGATTGCATCACCCAATGTGTACACTCGTACACTCAATTTGCATGCAGAATACTTTACGTTACGTCATTCTTATCTCATTGAAGCAGGATACTTGAGAGGTTGACGACAGTCATTAGGATGTGAATAAGCCCCACAAAATGCTCCTGTGGGCAACATTTTTCGGTTTTATTAGCATGTTTTAGCAATAAATCTGAGAGGCCTGGTTTCGAGGACAAGTGATGTCCATCCAGTAAGCAATGCACTGCGTCGATGCACAATCACCTCTAATGACACCGATGCTTCTCTTCTTCTTCTTCTTCTGTCTGTCTGAGCTGCGCTTTTTTCTGTTTTGCCGCTTGAGATTAGTCGCATTGTGGTTCGTTTTCGTGGTTAGGTACGACGCCTTATAACTTAGCTGATGGTTAACTAGTCGAGGCAGACACTGGATAAAAGTCGATTCCACAAAACTAAGTTTCCGAAACAGCAAAGCTGCACGCGGCGGAAAGTAGATTGTCTGAGAGCTCTTTTAGGCTGCTTTATTTTAAAGTATTTATAAAAGGCTGGCTGTATTGGTGGCTAAGAATGAGCTAGTGAACTGATGGGTCACCCATACCTCGGCTTGGTGTTCAATCCTCCACTGCCGCTCTAAACCGAATGCCACTTAATGCTACCGCGAAGATGATACCATGGTGTCTCAGTTAATGCTTCTGGTTCTCAGCCAATGGTTGAGCGCCACGACGGCAATCCCCTAAAACAGAGGGAGCAGAGATTCATGGGGCTAGTTTATTTTGACTATTCGACGAATGTGTTAAGTCAGAGCGCATTAGGTAGATAATTTCTCAGGCAAAGCTTTATTTCGAAAGGTTGGTGACCATGATAGAAGATGGTACTAGTTTGATGAGATTCATAGTCCTGTGATATTGTTGGTACTAGAGTGTTATTCAGTAGTTTATATATAGTCTTGAACGAAAACCGCGAATGGAAGAGAGCCGTTATTAAGATGGTTTGATATGGTGTTGTGTGCGTGCACTCAAATTTAGTGCATGCTTACAGTATTTGATAATTGCTGTAGCTTTGAGAATCCAATAAGAATAGTAATGGTTAGAAGGCAAATCAATGGAAAGGAAAAAGTACGAGGCACCTAAACGGTAGCCTTTAATTGACGACACCGCATGACTGACTGGGACATTGTGAAACGAAGGAATGGGTGTCGATGTAATCAAGGAGAGTATGGATGGACGCGAACCAACACCATCCACCAAACCACTTGGAGCACATTTTAATCCATCAGAGCAAAAATTACACTAAGCTGTTTTGCACTCGATAAGCAAACATCGTGGAGGTTGATTGCGACTGTGTTGAGAGTGGGCAAACTGTCGTGTGTAAAGTGGGAATAAAACGCGTGGCTGAATTTCATTTTCCCAATCTTACTGCAGCTGGACCTGTTCGTATTTGAGTGTGATATGGGAAATTGCAGTCATCATTCGAATAACTCCATGAAGAAACAGAATTTTGTGGATTTTAGACAACCTGGCAAACTGCCTAGCGTGAGATGAATTGTTGCTTTTGAGTGTTCAGAGTATTTACTGATTAATGCAAGAAATTCTTCTGTTGACAGGCTGCCTTCTCGTTATTTGGTTCAGGCAGGTTATGCAGTTGATACCGCAGTCATCTCTCGTCAGCTGCCACCTATCCCTATGCCAAGGTACATGCAGTAACTATTTTTCAGCAATATTTTATTGCATTCTCTACCAATGATGAAATATAGTTAAGCGTAAACAACAAAATACGTCCTTGTTATTTCAAATTGGACTACGCCACACCTCTGCCAGTTATTTTCAATGATTACTTAAGTTAAATTAAAATTCGACGTCATTGATTGAATGGAAGACGTACATCCTTGAAAACTAATTAACTGAATATTCGTTTCGCTGACATCGAAATTATGCCTATGCATCGATGTCGCATTTGTCTAGCGTAAATGCACTTGTAAGTGAGGTGAAGATAGGCATTTTCCATTAAGGAATAGGCAATACATCGGTATTTTCGCGAACCGTTGGAAGCAGGTGTTCAAGCATTTTATCCTTAATTGATCAGGTTATTTCTAAAATATGCCTGGCCAACACTATAATGCATTTGGACTCCAAATGTTGCGGGCGTTATTGAACATAGAAAAAATGATTTCTTATTCACTTAACTCGCAATACACTTAACTACCGTCATTATCATCATCATCAGCAGCAGCAGCAGCCATTTTTGGCGATATTTTCCGATATTATTATCTTGATTTAGCATTATATCCAAGAGGCTTGGTTTTGAGGACAAGTGATGTCTATCCAGTAAGCAATGCACTTCGCAGATACACAACCGCTGCTGACACCGATGCTCCTCCTCTTCTTCTGTCTGTCTAATCATTTACACATAACTACCACAGAGATGTTTTAAGCTTGAATAGGTGCGATGCCACTGGGGCAAATTGAGCCCACCTAGTTGCGAATTGTCGATGTGACCGGACGTTAACTGATTGCTTCTCGGCCGTTAAGCACAATTCAGATGAAATGTGCATGTAGAAGGGCAAACGCGAATTGACAATTCAATTCGAACTGTTACATGTTGGCTGTGGTCACCCTTAGTGCATTGCATTTTCTTCCGACATCAAATTTATTTGCTGAGATGTGAGCTGATGGGACAGCCTCTGATATTAGGTCTTGGTGTTTCCGCCAAGTGCTATGACATCAAGGATTCTATAATGGAAGTTAAATTGGTTTGAAAAAGGCCAATGAGTATTTGAGAAAAAAATCTCGCCAACAAACCACTTTGTACAAAGTCATCGTTCTGGAACTGGTGCATCTTCCTAAGGAATTGGTTGGATCAGCGTCACAGCTTCCACCTAATTGTTAGAGAGAAGCTTAGAAACGCGTCATGCTGTAGTGAGCTGCGTTGGTTTCTGTATTTCCGATTGTAATTAGTCATAGTGTGTCGTTTTTGTGGTTTGGTATTACGCCTGATTACTTGGTTGATGGTTAACTAATCGAGACTGGCACTAGATAGAAGTTGATTCCACAAAATTAAGTTTTTGAAACAACGAACTCACATGGGGCAGTACGCAGCTGGAATGAAATTTAGTTTAGGCTAATTCCTCCTAAGGTGTGCAAGGACTGGATTTGTTGATGGCTGATGATGGTGTCACAAGTTTGTTGAGACATGATGCAACACGAAACATCTTAGACAGAAGGCAGACGAGAGAGATACTCAATTAATAATTGGCTCTCTGAACGCAATTGTATTGTATGAGTTCGTCAGCTTTCAGCAGTGGACGCTTAATGAAATTATTGTTCAATAGTGTGGTTGAACTAAACAACGTAGGCAAGACTAAATGGCCAGAATAGCCTAGTAGATTGCAGGAGAGACACATGCAACAAAGCGTGTGAGAACAGATAGTCCTCCATGGCTGACCTGGGGCAAGGGTAATGTGTCCTACAGTGCAGCAACCAGATTCCCGGACATGAATAGATACGATTCATAGCAAAGTGGTATGCCTTATGAATGAAGGCACCTGCTGTGCTGCCTTACTCAAAAATAGGTCTCATCGGTAGCTGATTTTCGCTACTCATCTAATCTTAGAGGAACGCGTAGACATCATCATTGACAATGGGCGTTTAAGAGTTTTGTTACTGATACATTGAGGTACGAAGCAGTAAGGAGCTTCTCGTCTAGACTTGCAGTTGCTCTCCGCTAACTAACTTCAAATGTCACAGAACTATTTTGTCTTGCAACTGAAAACATGTTTTGTCTATTTAAGTCCTCATGCTCTCGTTATATATATTTTAGGTAACGAGAGATTTGTTTATACAAGGTGATGGAAAGCACAATCCTATAGGAAAAAGCTCACTGGAAAATGAGGCTTAACAGTGTCAAGGACAAACCACAGCCTGTGTCAACTCTAGCAACCTTGCTGTTGCCGTATTTTGAACATTAACTGCTTAGCGTCACCTCTCATTCATGGAACAGGCAACAATCATGGACAACAACTTCTCCAAAAGATACATTTTCTCGGGAAACCAACTACCAGAATTACCATTATTCAACGCATCCCATCCCTGCAGCAGTGGCCAATCATCCTACACCTGGGCAACAGCAGCCTTACGGACATATGGAACCTTCAAGTTACTACTACTGCTGCTAGTAATACCACTACAGATTCTTCAACTCTTCCAAACCCTCGTTGACTCACATTCGGCTACACACATTATCCATTTTTTCAAGACTTTTCCACACAGTTCGCATTGGACCTTACCACCTCCTCCTTCTAACCACATCAGAAACCACAGTGCATCACCACAAAGTAGTTCTTTTAACTTCTTTCTGCTGAATGCCAGATC